AGGAAGGAAGGAAGGAAGGAAGGAAGGAAGGAAGGAAGGAAGGAAGGAAGGAAGGAAGGAAGGAAAGAAGGAAGGAAAGAAGGAAGGAAGGAAGGAAATGTGAAAAAGTCAGCAATGGCTAAAAAAAGATGGGACCATTATGTAATCTTGAGATATTTGGACTGTCTGAATTTGGAAAATACCATCCTTTTGCTTTCTGGACAGGCTTGAAAAGGAGAAAGCAGAAATTGAACGCATGAGAAACCTGACTGAGGAAGAAAGGCGGGCTGAACTTCGGGCAAATGGCAAAGTCATTACCAACAAAGCTGTTAAAGGCAAATACAAGTTTCTACAAAAGTATTATCACCGAGGTGCCTTCTTCATGGTAAGTGCACAGAGGGTCAGAGAACTGGGCGGTGGGAAGAACTTAGAGGCATGTCCAGCCTTTCCTCATTGTCATGTGCATACTTAGACCCATGCAGTTAAGTTCCCAAAACAGAAGTCTCAGTAAGAGACTTAAAATAGTAGGCTTACAGTTTGGTGTTGGGCCACATTTGTAGCTGTCCTGAGGCAGTCAGTCCAAGACACTTCAGTCCTTTTCCCTAGAATGAGAATTCCCTTACCTAGAATAAATACCATTGGCATTGGTTTCTGCTTTTTGCCTGAGGAGAACTCAAACATAGCAACAGCATTACCAAGGAAGCGGTGACAAGCAACCACTGTCCTGTTTTCAAGTCAGCTCTCAAACAGAGATGGTGAATGACACTGAGGTCGTGAGGCTGTGCCCTGTATACTCACTCCACTAGACAGGTCCTCCAAACCTAGTAGAAATCATGCCATAGCCAAACAAACTTTACTTATGGGAAAACCAAGCTCTCCTCATCTGAAAAAAGAATAAAATTAAATAGCTTTTGAGATTACATTATTTTCAGAAAAGAGAAAAGCCATAATTCACAAACCTGTTAAACTAGGCCAGTCATGGTAGTACATGCCTTTAATATCAGCAGAGGCAGAAGCAGGTGGACCTATCTCTGTGAGTCTCAGGCTAGCCTGGTGTACCTAGTAAGTTGAAGAATGGCCAGGGCTACATAGTAAGGCCCTGTATCAAAACAAAAAGCCCTGTTAAATTGTGCCCCATTCCCATGGGAAGGGAAAACAATGTCCAGAGCTGTGTTACAGTCCCGGCTCTTAGTGATTCAAGAGTTTAAGGCTACCCACGTCTGCTGGCAAGTTCTAAAAGAGTGTCCAAGTAAAGGCACACATACCAAAGGATTAGAGATTCACAAGTTGAAGCTGCATCAACTGAGCACAGTGAACAGGGAACAGAGCAGGCTTTCAGGAAGCAACCAGAATACAAGCCCTTGAAGAAAGGCTCACTGCCCTCTGATTCTCTTTGTGGTCTTTGGTGTTGCATTTCATGCATTTGTGTTTTGCATAAGTGAGAAGTAAAGCCAGAGACTGATAAGATTCTCTTCTACAGGATGAGGATGAAGAAGTCTACAAGAGAGATTTCAGTGCACCTACTCTTGAGGACCATTTCAACAAAACCATTCTTCCCAAAGTCATGCAGGTATGGGATTCTCAGTAACAGAAAATAGACCAGGGGCTGGGGCATGGGATGTTTGGTGTTGTAATCATCCATCTTCCTTTCAGGTCAAGAATTTTGGTCGGTCTGGTCGCACCAAGTACACCCACCTAGTGGATCAAGATACCACCTCCTTTGACTCTGCGTGGGGCCAAGAGAGTGCCCAGAACACAAAATTCTTTAAACAAAAGGCAGCAGGGGTGCGAGATGTATTTGAGCGACCATCTGCCAAGAAGAGGAAAACCACCTAGGCTTCAGCTACTTATTCCAACTGTGGGACACAAGGGGATCTGGTCCTCAATTTTCTTGAACCATTATTGACATAGTTCTTGTACAGAGCTTTTCAGACTTGCAGCCATAACTTGTGTTGGAAGGTGCTTTGTAAGAGGTTTGGACTCGTACTGAGAAACCCACAGAGACGCACTAACCTGGTAGGACTAGAGGCTTCCCACTTAAAACTATTCCTGAGAAATCTTAGGTTTCTATTCCCATATTGACTTGGGACTATTCTGAGTTTGTATTCCAGCCTGGATCAGATACTTGGACATGTGAATGCAAGGGGCATTACTTCTTCCTTAGGGTTAGCAGTAGGCTATCAGGAAATCCAAGCTCAGTTCAACCTGTTTTTCATTTGGGGTGTTGAATCTACAGTGTTTTTATTTGTTTGTTTGTTTTTGTTGTTTGTTGTTGTTTTGGGGTTTTTTTGTTTTTTTTTTTGTTTTTTTTTTTTTGTTTTTCAAGACAGGGTTTCTCTGTGTAGCCATGGCTGTCCTGTAACTCACTCTGTAGACCAGGCTGGCCTCTAACTCAGAAGTCCGTCTGCCTCTGCCTCCAACATGCCGAGATAAAGGTGTAATGACACCACTGCTTGGCGAATCTACAGTTCTAAGTAAATATACTTTTTGATCTGTGCGTTTGTGTGTAAGAAGGAGAAATTACGTATTAGAAATATTTTTACTATAATTTTAGAAACAGATTGTGTTATCCCCTGAACTGGGGCTGAGGACAGTGGCACACACCTTCAGTCCCAACACTAAAAGTTAGGGACCCATGCAGATCTCTCATTCAAGGACAGCCATAACTACACAGTGGGCCCTGTCTCAAAAAGCACAAAGAATTCTGGTAATTAAAAGTCTAGCTAGAGCCTGGCATTGGTGGTGCACACCTTTAATTGCAGCACTTGGGAGGCAGAAGTGGGTGGATCTCTGAGTTCGCGGCCAGCCTTGTCTACAGAGTGAGTTCCAGGACAGCCCAGGCTATAAAGAGAAACCGTGTCTCGAAAAACCTCAAAAAAAAAAAAAAAAAAAAAAAAGTCTAGCTAGGTAGGTTACACACACCTGTAATCCCAACACTTGTGAGGTAGAAGCAGGCAAATCAAGTTTATTCATCCAAACTGGACATGGTGGCACACACCTTCAATCTTAGCACCAAGGAGGCAGAGACAGGCAGATATGCCTGGTCTACAAAGCAAGATCTGTCACAGCCAGGGCTACACAGAGAAACCTTGACTCAAAAAGTAGAGTTCAGTCATCTTAAACTACATAGTTCAGGGTCTTCCTTGAGTATAAGACAAAACAGACAATTAAAAAAAAAAAAAAAACAAACAAAAAACTATATGTAAAATATAGCAGGGAAATAGACCTGGTAAATACTTGCCATGTTTTCTATTCTTTAGCTATATCCCTTGTTTTTTGGTTTTTTTTGTGTGGATGTGTGTGTGTGTCTGTATTTTCAAGAAAAGTCTCACTAAGCTACTCATGCAGGCCTTGAAGTTGAGAACCCCTGCCAACAAGTCTCAGCAGCCTGAGTTTGATCTCACAGATCGACATAGTGGTAGAAAACTCAATCCAGCACCCAGCAGATTGTCATCTGACTTCCACATGTATTCCATGGAATGTATGTATTAATGTTCACATGAGATGTAATTGTAAAAGAAAAAAAAACCAGTATGGTGGCACACACCTTTAATCCCAGCACTCAGAGGCCCAGGCTGGTACATCTGTGTGTTTCAGACCATCCTGGTCTACAGAGTTCCTGGATGGCCAAGGCTAGAACAGAAATCCTGCTTCCAAAAGTCAAAAATAATGACAGTAATAATAATAATAAACTTGTGTACATCTCACCAAATGGGAACTAAGTCTAGGGCCTTGTATGTACTAGGCAAGTACTCAACCAGATTATTTTGCCAATTTATATTCTGATCATCCTTTTCATATCTGATACAAACTTAGATATTGTACAGTAACCAAGTAATACCCAGATCTATTCTATGTGCAAATTCAAATCTTTTTAAATCTTAGTTTTTAACTTTCCACTTGGGTGCTGAGAATCAAACTTGAGTCATCTGGAAGAGTAGCCAGTGAGTGCTCTTCACCTCTGATCCCTGAGCAACTTCAGATGTATTAGGTGGTCTTTGTTCTCTACATTGTCGCCTTACGTTGATCAGTGACTTACACACTGAGTTCCAGTTCCTACTAATCTTTCTCATTTAGCTCATGTGCAAGATGGAGAAGTAATGCTCTTGAGGAGCACCCCACAGCTGTCAGCACTAAAGTCTGTTTGCCCATGTAATATTTACGGTGTAACTACCATGTACAGAATGAGATTTCAGCAGACTGACTATTCTTGTTTAAAAATGAGAAGAGGGATGAAGAGGTGGCTCTGTGACTAAAGGCACTTTCTTACTCTTCCAGAAAACCTGAGTTCTGTTCCTAGTCCCACACTCGGCAACTTACAATCTACCTGTAAATCTAGCTCCAGGGAAATCTGAAGCCTCTGGGTTCCAGGACACCTGCACTCTTGAGCAGATAAAAAGTGTTTTTTAAAAAAAGCCTGGCTAGTTGTATGAACTCAGTCCCAACTGATTGAGAGGCTGAAGGGGGTCACTTTCCCCGAAGTTCAGCACAAGCCTGGACAATACAGTGAAAGTTGTCTTAAAACTGGTCTATATAGTTAATTCTACGACAGCCTGGGCTACAAAGAAACCCTGTCTCAAAAAGATGAAAGATAAGACCCACTTATAGGCTATCAACAAACTGTCTATAACTACATAACATTAAAGGTATAATTAATTAATTACTAAGAAATAAATAAAGGTGAGCACTGAACCAGATGGAGAGAAACAATACACAGAAACTGGGCAAAAGGGTTACAAGTTCTAGACCAGCTTCCTCTACATGTCAATCCCATGGCAAAAAAACAAAACAAAAAACTCTTGTGTGAATACTTAATTGAGTATGCATTCCTACCCAGGTAAGGGCTTGTGGAACTCAGGTCAGTGGTGTTAGTCCCTATTACTCTACTTCTGTGTTTGATGCCATGGTCTAACAAAGCCTCAAGTTCCTGATTAGACTAAGCTGCCTGTCTCAGCACAGCCCCTAGTGCAGAGTTCCAGGAACATCCCACCACTCCTGGGTTTTTAGGGAGTTACTGGGAATCCAAACTCATTCTTTTGGGGCAGATACTTACTGAGTCATCTCTCCCATTCTGATCCAACATTTTGATAAGCTATGTTCCCATTTCTAGAACCTAAATGTTTATTCCAGTTGCTTATAAATGAGACTGGTAACTTAAAAGCCCCAAACAGGAGTTAGTCTTCTGATATTCATAAGCTAGCCTTAAGAGTTGGTCAGGGCCGGGCGGTGGTGGCGCACGCCTTTAATTCCCAGCACTTGGGAGGCAGAGGCAGGCAGATTTCTGAGTTCGAGGCCAGCCTGGTCTACAGAGTGAGTTCCAGGACAGTCAGGGCTACACAGAGAAACCCTGTCTTGAAAAAACAAAACAAAAAAAAAAAAAAAAAAAAAGAGTTGGTCAGGGTAGCTGAAGCAGCTCTCAAGTTAGGAGGGGATCTGAGTCTGGAAACAGCCTGGCTTATACAGGAAGAACAGATCTGAGAAAAAAAAATGCAAAAGATCCAAATGAACTCTGTATTGCCAAGAAACAGCTAGTCAGATGAGTGAGACTAACATAGCACCTATTTATTATCTGCTGCTTAGAGCTGGTGAGATAACTTGTTGGAAAAGGGCACCTGAATTCGATTCCCATATGGTAATTACAAACACTATGGCAGTAGAGTGCCAAACACACACACACACACACACACACACCAAGTAAGAGCCTGTATTTGAACATTAGAGCCTGTATTTATACTGACTGTTCATACAGTTTCATCAAGGTCCAACACACAAACAGACAATAAAATAGAATATATAATGCATTTGATCTGAGATAAAACTCAAAACAAAAAAAACCCCAGCAAAACAGAACACTTTATTTCAATCAGTCCAAAGTGTCTGAAGAAGCACAGTATCAGTTGGTTAGGGCAATAAGAGCCTCCACCACATTGCCCATGTGTTCCCTCAAGCTTCTTTCTGCTGCTGCTCGAGAGATCTCCATTTCTGTCATCTGCAAAAGGGAAAATCACGTCACCAAAGCCTCTTCTCAAACTTTTCCAACAAACTCTGGCTCCACTTGTTTCAGGAACCCAAATTAAGTATAACTTCTCTTGTGACTCCATTAATGCATTACTACTCACTATCAACTCCAGATCTTCCTTCTTGATAGTGACCTTCGCCAGTTCCTTCTCCCTGAAAAAATATATATATATACATTCGTTTTCATTCTCTGCCTCTGCTATAAACTCCCAGAAGGAACACTTTCAGTTACACATTCAAAATGGGTGGAACAACGTTTACTTAAAACAGCAAGTAAACGAGCCCTTTCCCCTTAAGGTCTTACAGTAAGGTATCCAGGAAACTTTCCTTCCGCTAACAAAAAAGTTGTAGGAATTGGTTAAAGACTTAAATCTTTTTTCGCCTGGAGAACGAGGACCCAACTGTAGTGCTGGCGGTGTGCTTTAAACTTACCGTTCCTGTTTGGCCTTTTGCTCCCTGGACCGTCTGTCTCCAATGACCGACATAGCCTGTAGAAAACACGAGTCTAGTTACCAACCACCGCGACCCAAATTTTCCGATCTAAAATGCAATACCAAAAATAAAAACCACGTGGTTCTTCAGGTATCCATAACAGTTCTCAGGACCAAATGACTACTTTTAATTCCGTGCACTTGAGATACATTTAGGCCCAATCTCTATCAAATTTTTAAGCAAACCGCAGACTGAGTGAGTGCTGTAGCTTAGCCCCACCTTACAGCCAAATCCCACTATCGCTAACAGCGGTCCCGGGGCTCGGCTGAGCAGCAAACTGGTCAGTCTCACCTCACTCCCGCCCCATTCTCAACCCCTCTCATACAAGCTCCCAGTCAACCTCACCGTCTCCAGATTCGAACTCTGGATCTCCTTCTCCTCCGCATAGTCAGTAACCCGCTCTAGGTCAGCAGCACCACTGTCATGTTTCCTTGGCTTCTCGGGAGGCCGCTCCGGGCCACTGGTCTCGGTCTCTAACTCCAGCTCCACGTCTCCCTCGGTCGCCATTTCGATCTCACCGCGCCGCCGCATAGGCCGCCGCCTCACAACTTCCGGCAACCCTCAGCTTCCGCCCAGATAAGGGGCGGGGTAGGCGCTGGACCACACCTTTGTGCCTATCTTGAGAAGCTTCGGCTAGGAAAGAGGTTCACTTTTGACTTCCTCTACAGCTTGTTTTCTCCAGTCTCCTTCGACTATCTATTCACTCTCCACACCACCCAAACGCACATTGTTCCTAAGAACAGTCCCTTCACACACACAAGGAATTCTGTCCAATCAAGACGGCTAACCTAACCCTAAACCAATTAAGAAACCTAATCCCCAGACCAGATAGACCAACTGCTCCTAATCTCAGAAAACAGTCCGAATGATCCCGAATACAAAGCCCGGTGAAGGCATCTCCACAAGAGTATTTGCATCTACCACTTCCCAGCGATCTGTATTCATTTTATGGCATATTCAAACTGCTGCCTTAAGACGAATGATTAGACCAGCAAAGCAACTGTCCAATGGGCGAAGCTGCTGTTCCTCATCAGTTTTTCCAATACTGGATCTACTTCCAACCTCTGGGCCAAAAATGATGGGTGCAAAAGTCGTCACAAGCCGGAGCACCACCTTGGACAGCAGCACGGTGGAGTCAGCGATGTCGTAGTGAAAACTACCTTCAATCAGGTGAGACATTTGGGAAGAGACTTGAAGAGACCCTTAAGCAAGAGATAGCTAGCCGGGCGGTGGTGGCACACGCCTTTGGTCCCAGCACTTGGGAGGCAGAGGCAGGCAGATTTCTGAGTTCCGAGGCCAGCCTGGTCTACAGAGTGAGTTCCAGGACAGCCAGGGCTACACAGAGAAACCCTGTCTCGAAAAACAAAACAAAAAAACAAAACAAAACAAAACAAGAACAACTAGGGGTTGGAAGAGAAAAACCTGGTTCTTTGCCTGGATAATCAATAAACCTCATCCCACATTCCCAGCAATAGATCGTTAGCCAAAAATGGTTCAAGAATACACTAAAGTGCCGGGCAGTGGTGGCGCACGCCTTTAATTCCCAGCACTTGGGAGGCAGAGGCAGGCGAATTTCTGAGTTCGAGGCCAGCCTGGTCTACAGAGTGAGTTCCAGGACAGCCAGGACTACACAGAGAAACCCTCCTATCTCGAAAAAACAAACAAACAAACAAACAAAAAGAATACACTAAAGTATTCTTGCACCGAAAATCTTACAAGTGCTTTGCGGAAGGTAATTCTAAGTGGCTCAGAACCAGACAGTAGGATGGAGGGTTTGGGAATTTGACCTTTGGTTAATCCTTTTTTAAACTCCGCATTGCTTTCTACAACTGCTCTATTCCCAGGTGTCCTGCTGTAGGCCTGTTTCTTGGACCAGTGGCTGCCACTCTCTAACAAGGTCTACTTGTAGCCGCCTGCTCTACATCCTTCTCCACGTGGGGGCCTCAGCAATCTGCTGCCTCCTGCTGTCGAAGACAGTAGTAGAAACGGTCTGGGGCAAAACACATGGGGTAAGTGGGCAGGAGTTGCAACACATGAGGGGGAAAAAACCTGTAATATTTGGATTGGGGCAGGGCAGTGGTGGTGCATGCCTTTAGTCCCAGTACTTGGGAAGCAGAGGAGGGCGAATTTCTGAGTTCGAGCCCAGCCTGGTCTACAGAGTGAGTTTTAGGACAGCCAGGGCTACACAGAGAAACCCTGTCTTGAAAAACCAAAACCAAAAAAAAAAAAAAAAATTTGGATTGGGACCAGAGATCGAAGGAGTCGTTCTCAGTGAGTGAAAAGCTGGGACCTGTCCATATATAGTGGCTTGCCCTGACTTTTCTCACACTCAGACTCCTTGTAGATCCAGATGCCCTCAGTGCTGTGTGCCCACCTGTTTGGCAACTCTGACTGTCCAGTGCTCAGTGGCTCTGGGGCTGTGTATCGGGTGTGTGCAGGAACTGCCACCTTCCACTTGCTGCAGGCAGTGCTGCTAGTCCGAGTCCACTCTCCCACCAGCCCTCGGGCACAGCTGCATAACAGGTTTGTGTGTGATTTTTTTGAAGGGGATGGAACAGAGGGAAGTAGACACAAGCTGGCTAAAAGAAAATCCAGGAAGCACCTCTGATCCCAGCACTTAGGAGGCAGAGGCAGGCAGATTTCTGAGTTCAAGGTCAGCCTGGTCTACAGAGTGAGTTCCAGGACAGCCAGGACTACACAGAGAAACCCTGTCTAAAGAGAGAGAGAGAGAGAGAGAGAGAGAGAGAGAGAGAGAG